TATGTCGCATTCATTGGACTTTTCTTGAAATAATGAATGGATACATCGCTTTTGTATACAGACTTATTACAGATGCGAGGAGGGATTTGAGGCCAGGGCGGAGCAGGTGACTACCAAAGCCTGTAAAAAACTCATCACCGACATGCATCACGAGGTGCGCATCCAGGCCATTGTAACCTACTACGGGTCGAAGCTTGGAGAGAGGAAAACCAAGAAAGACACAAGAGAGATGCAACTGACCCGGGAGCAGTACCTTGAGGTAAATGAAGAACATCAATATTGATTCGTTTTGAGATTAAGTTGGTTGAATTTGATCTTCTTATATGTCTAATACTTGATGACGTGTAGATGATTCCCTGGTGGTGCCAAGCATATCCCGAGTGCTGGGCGATGATGGTGGAGAGGTGGTTCACAGAGGAGTACCTCATGATGCACAGGGATGCCCGGGACCATCGTTCGTAGATGCAAGGTCCAGCACACCATCAAGGCAGCGGCAACCTCATCGGATACAAACAAGCATGGGTACACAAATTCATTTATCTATTGTGACACTCAGTTCTGCCTGATTTCTAATCATCATGCTGTCTTTCTCGCAGTCGGTGTCACATAGTGGCCAGGCTTGCTCGGACTTCTAGGCATGGTGTATGGCCCACAAGGGCAAGGCGATGTCTGACGTCTCCTTCAACCTGGAGGACCCGCCCGAGGCATACACGAACCCGAGCGTCCACTCCCGCATCAGTGAGTACACTGAGGTGGCGAGGTCGCTCCATGGGTCAGACCACGATTCGAGCACCCATGACTTCGATGGAGAGGCCGTCATGAGGGCGGGGCAAGGCAAGAAGCATGGACGGTTCTGGCTTGGCGACGACATCATCGACACGGCCTCTACTCCGTCTCTCTCCCAGATCCGAGCACGGAGCACAAGCGAGAGCCCGGCCATTCGCACACGGCTGACTGCTGCACAACACCGGGTCGACACACTCGAGGTTATTCCTATTTTACTCATCATACATTGATCTTTACACACCTTAATTAGCTTTGCATTACTGAAACATTAGAGTGAAATATTACAGGCCTGGCTGGAACAAGAAATGAGGCAACGTCAGGAGCTGGAGGCCGGGCAGCAGAGGATGGCGGCCCAGCTGGAGGCCGAGCGGGCCGAGCAACAGGCCCAGGCGTAGAGGCTGACGGACATTACGGAGTTCCTACAAAGGCTTGGGCAACGTGTGGGCTTCTCTCTGCCAGCTGGGCTGTTGGTTCCACCTCCGCCTCCGCGTCCTGCAGCTGCAGCTACTCCTGTGAGTATGAAAGTTTTTTACTTTCGCTTGTTCTTTGCTTGTATGGCCCCTACCTTCCTTTGTGCAGTCTCCGTGTGCACCTTCCTTTGCTATCCAAATAATCTTGTCTCACATGCAATCTTTTCTCCTTTGTGCAGTCTCCATCTGACGGTGGTTCGAATAATCCACCTCATGCACCTCCGAATGATGGAGTTGGGCCTTCACCACAGTCGCAGTGGCCGAGATGAGTGCATGTTGTATTTTTTTTATTTGTTGTTCACTTGGTGATGGACTTGTGATATACTTGTGATGCACTTGTGGACTTTGATGGACTTGTGATGGACTTGTGGATTTATTTGGATGGACTTGAGTACTTATTATTATATATGTGATATATATTGTGATGGATGTGATATGTGCAGATGGATGTGTGGATGGATGAGATATATATGTGATGGATGAGATATATATGCGATGAATGAGATATATATGTGATATATGTTTATATGAATTTATTTGTCATGATGGAATGTAAAAAAAATTGCTGTTTTGGGTCACTTTGCCGAGTGTTGCACTCGGTAAAGGACCCCGTTGCCGAGTATAATGGTCACAGCACTCGACAAAGCTGGAAAAATGGGCGCTCGAAAAACCATTTTTCCAGCTTTGCCGAGTGCCATGACTATGGCACTCGGCAAAGATTTTTTTTTTAAAAAAAATCCAAACTTTGCCGAGTGTTGGCCAGAGGGCACTCGGCAAAGAATTTTTTTTAAAAAAATTCAAACTTTGCCGAGTGCCGGCCAGGAGGCACTCGGGAAAGAATTTTTAGAAAAAAAATAAAACATCTTTGCCGAGGGCCGGATAGAGGGCACTCGGCAAAGAATTTTTTTTTTAAAATTTTTTTGCCGAGTGCCTGCAAGGTTGGCACTCGGCAAAGCGACCGTCAACGGGGCCGGCGCCGTGACGGTCGCTTTTCTTTGCCGAGTGCCCCCGGGGCTCTCGGCAAAGCCTTTGCCGAGTGCCCGATAAAAGACACTCGGCAAAGAGGGCTTTGCCGATCAATTTTTTGCCGTGTGTTCTTTGCCGAGTGCCGCACTCGGCAAAGGCTTTGCCAAGTGCAATTTGGCCTTTGCCGAGTGCCTCAGGCACTCGGCAAAGAACCTGAATCCAGTTGTGGTTGTGCCAGACCTCTAGTGCGGGGTGAGGCTAGCAAGCATGGTGGGGTCAAGACAGTAGATGGCGAGCGATGACATGGTGGGGAAGCAGTAGGCGAGGCACACCGCGATTAAGGCGTTCTGCTCCACGATCTGCTCCTCCGTCAGGGATGGCATGACGGCGTCGGCGGACAGCAGTGAGTGCGCGGCGCGCATGGCCCGCTCCACCACGAGGAGCCGGTGTCGGAGGCGACGACATGGCATGGTGGGTGTTGGGGTGTGTGACATGATGAAAGGGATAAGGTTGAGTTTAGGGGTTGGGGTAAAACGGGAATGAAAGATTGGTTGGAATAAAAATAATGATTAAATTGGGGAGAAATCAGTGTAATGGCATTTCGGCAGGTGTACCCAATTTGATAATGGCAATCCGACGAATCTCTTTTGCATAATGGCAAAAGTGTGAAGCCCAAGTTTGACAATGGGAAAATTCCAATTTTTACTATAGAGGGGTAATCGAATTTGGATAGGAAGAGTGATGAAACAAAGCTCAAGATAAAGATAACTCAAGAGATAACTAGTAAGGTATAGCTAGATGGAAGGACAACGAGAGAGTAAAGGTTCCTATGATTGTAACTCTACTTCTATGGTTCTATCTTAATCACATAATTGTAGCAAACATGTTGAGTCCACACAACGGCCGGTACACGAGGCGATAGGTGAAACAACAAGAGGAGAAAACTCTTCCCCGAGGCGTCTATCTATTTATGGGGGCCTTAGCTTTTAAGAACTTACGCACATGATAAAATACAAAGACTAGATAAAGCTGTCACCACCTACTAGCTACCACAAACAATCCTTGGACAAGCGTCAACCACAGGCAAGATCACCGGGTTTAGAGACATACGATTAACCTTTATCCTATGATGGCAAATATATGTTACTTTTATAGTTTTTATACTAACATGAAATTAAACCCCTGCTGATGAGACGTGTGTCAGACCAAGAAAAGAGTGATGTCAGGTATATTCCCCTGATACCATATCTAAAGTGCTGTTGCCGTGGCTTGTGTGGTGAACTGGTGATGATAGATACTTGGTTGATTCCTTTCGGTCGGGGCACGCCCATAAGATGACTGCAGAGGATTAGCCCTATTTAAGCTAAGCAATTGATAAGCATGTACATTCACGTATACCACACCAGGAGCCTCTCCTGGATGAAATGGTACCGTACCATGGACAATTGCACATTGCCGCCACTTTTGTAGAGAATGCGTTAGCATGCTATGCCATTTCACCCAGCCTAGACGGCATGTAGGCATGTACTCTACTCATGTGTATGCATGCAAAATGTGTGATGTATTGATATGGATCAGAACAGAGCTTTACTAAATTAATTCCTTTGAAAGTAAGGAACTGAAAAGGAAATATCCTTGTATGCATGCATAAATCAAGGGGTCGCCGCCGCCTGTCCCTTGGCTGGCTCAGTAACAGGCTAACTGACCATGGTTTCCAGGGCTGGCGCACTCAGACGCACACTTATCAGTTGAACGTTGATACATGCACGGTTTCTGTGTGACAATGGGCACATGCAGTACACATCATGTCGTCTAACAAATAGATACATCAGGGTGTCTACATACATACATACATACATACATACATACATACATACACAGCCACATATACCACACCGAACCGGCACAACGCTGCGTGCGCGCACGCGTTTCTCCATGCACCAAAAATTGATCGAGTAGTGAAGAACACGACGCTATCAGCACTAGATCACGATGACCCGTCACTGGCCTGGTAGTCCCTGATGGATTCCTATGGCTACAGCAGCCCCCGCACCGCATGCGAGGCAAAGTGGACACTGCGCTGGCCCGCCTGTCCGTAGCCTGCATCACGAAGGGCTTGCAGCATATAGCCACAGCATCCCTAGGCCACTGACGCACACACATCTCTACGCGTTCGGTCGCCAACCGCGTTGCCCTCTTCTACATCTTCATGCAGACGAGGCAACAACTGGAGCTGGCCTGCATGCCTGAGCGGCGTGCGGACGCATACGTCCACAGGAATCACAGGCAAGGGTAGGCAAACTGGAGGGAGGTCACGGCAGGCTGCATGCTGCACACAAGTAGAGACATTCCAAAACCCGGGCACCTGTCGCCAGCAACAGCCGAGGCCCCGGCGAGAAAGCGAGCCCGGGTGCGCAAGGACAAGCATGGCACAGTTGGAAAGAACAAGAGTCCAATGCCCAGTAGAAACAGACACCACCGGAAAAGACGGGAGCCAGGCAGAGGGTAGGAGGCTTCAACGGAAAGCGGCTTTTGTGAACACGCCTCCTGCCTATTTAAGCTGCCCTGCAGTGCCCGGCTCACTGCACCAGAACAACTCATCCTGCATTCATCTTTGTGAGCGAGCGAGAGACCTAGACTTACCGGCAGGTCAAGAAGAGTTTGTGCATGTATGTATGCTTCGTTGTTTTTTCAGCACTATATGCGAATTATTCCTTGTTGCTTGATACGGTTGTTGGCGCTTCCTGGTTCTAATCTCAGTTAAGGAGCAAGAGAACCATGGCGGACCAGCAGCAGCTGCAACCGGAAGAGATGAACATTGTCCATGCCGGTGGCCTTGACCTGCCTCCAGGGTTCCGCTTCCATCCGAGTGACTTTGAGATTGTCAATGACTACCTCACGAAAAAGGTGCTCAACAGGGACTTCATCTGCGCCATCGGGGAGGTCGACCTAAATAAGACTGAGCCATGGGATCTCCCAAGTATGTAACAAGTAGCCTCGATCTGTACTGCAGATACATATACGCCTTGCTCTTGTTTGATTCGTGCAGTGGATGCATGCTGCTATGCTAGTGATTGAGATGTGCTCTAATATATGGTGCTTAATTCGGTCGCATGCTGTAGGGGACGCAAAAATGAATGAGAAAGAGTGGTACTTCTTCTCACAGAAGGACCGCAAGTACCCGACAGGGCTAAGGGCGAACAGGGCCACGAAAGCTGGTTATTGGAAGGCGACCGGCAAGGACAAGGAGGTATACAAGCCCAACAAAGGGGAAGGGGTGGCGCTGCTTGTCGGCATGAAGAAAACGCTTGTCTTCTACGAAGGTAGGGCTCCCAGGGGCAACAAAACAAACTGGGTGATGCACGAGTATAGGCTCGAAGGCAGCGGCAGGCTCCCTGGCCCCACATCTGCATCCAGCTCAGCCACCAATGCCGACATGGCTATGAAAGCTTCAGCTTCAGCTTCCAAGGTGCGTGGTAGTGGTAACAACACTGGCATGATGTATGTCAATATGCTACTTGCTTGATTTGCTTACCCAAATCTGATTTCACTTCTGGTTTACAAATGAAATTCGCATAGGATGAGTGGGTGGTCTGTCGTGTGTTCCACAAGACCACTGGGATTAGGAAGACGACTATACCGGCGTACCAAGTGGCAATGCCCGGTGCTGAGATTGATCAGAATCAGAACAACATCCCGGCCGTGCCCATCCCCATGTCGCTGCAGCTACCGCAACCCGTGCGCATGCCAATGCAATATCCCATCCTGCCAGACTTTGCCATGGACCCGGTGCCCCCCTACTACCCCAACCCCAACGCTAGCATGGGGATGCCACTGGTGATGCCGCCTATGGTAGGTATCGGTGGTGCTGGTGGGCTCCATATCAACGGTGCCCTATTCGGCAATCTGATGGCCAAGCCGCCGCCGATGAACTTCTACCATCAGATGGGCATGGGGGCAGCCGATGGCCAGATGGGCATGGGGGAACCAGCAGGCCAGATGGGCATGGGGGCACCATTAGGCCAGATGGGCACTGGAGCTATTGGCCAGATGGACATGGGAGCAGCTAGCGTTGGCGGCTTCGATGTTGCTGCGCCTGAGAGTAGGCCGTCCTCGATGCTGTTGCAGACGGATGAGCATGCTAATGCTGCTGAGATCACATCGATGATTTCTGTGACCGGCCTAGGGTCCATCGCCACCACCGTAGAGATGGATGGCATATGGAAGTACAAGTACTGAAGAAGTAAACATGGAGGGTGGAGGCAAAGACATGAATTCGCATAAATATGCATGTTATATCTATATCTGCATTGCATTTTGTGAAATAATGCATGGTTTATATATTTCCGTAATAACTAGTCGATAAGCTATGTGTGTATGCATGTACTAGTATATGCACCATTTCATTGTTGCATGTGTGGTATATGTGTGTCGTTTGGTCTTAGTAATCTGGGGCATGATGGTATGCATACCTGGATACATGACATCCGCTTGGTTGCACTGATGGTTGTATTGTAAGAAGCAGATTGTTGTTTGGTACAATATTATTGTGAACCTATATATTATATGTATGTGAATTATGGTATGTTGTTTAAGATATGAATTTGATTGCCAAATTAAACATCCAATTATATGTGTTTATATTGTGATCTTTTTGTTAAGGCTAACCAAATATGCTTGTGATAGTTGTCACGCCTGCACACCTCTCTGGCTGTCAGATAGGAACAAAAGAAATCCTACAGTGCTGGCTCAACCTTATATTTGCTCCCTATAAAAAAATAGCTTGCAACATGGTTTTCTTGCTCCCCCGGTCAACCGTTGTCGGATGAATTAGCTCTGGCAATGCCTAGCAACATGATCGCGTTAATGGAATCAGATGGTAGCACACGAGACACAAAGATTTATAGTGGTTCAGGCCATGGTGCGCGTAAAACCCTAGTCTAGTGGTGGTGGTGCTGCTCTTGTATTTATATGCTCGATTACAGGGGTTGTTGCTCCAAGCTACGTAGTAGATTGGAATGAGAGGAGTTGGATCCCTATCGCGAGGTCCCTACCGTCCTTTATATAGGCAGAGGGGGCATGGAATACGCAACAGATTGATCCTAGCTATCATCCAGATACGCCTATCTTGGATGTTCCTGGCGTGCCTTGGTCTTCACATTTGTCGAACGCCATGGCCCTCGTGGGCCTCCTCCTAACGGCTTCTAAGCCGATAACTTGGACATGGTCGTATATATGGGCGGTGCAGGTACCCCTGGCCCATATATCGGACAGTAGCCCCCGTAGGACTTAATGACAAGTGAGCTGGTAGCTTTAGCCCATGGGTTGTCGCAGACCCCTGTAAGTTTTGAGTACTGTGAGTATCAGCAAGCTTAGCCTCAGGTGCCAAGGTACTGAACAGCACAGCTTAATATGTTCAAGTATTGAAAACCAGTATGGGTTTGCTCGAGTGCCAAGATATTTTCTCGGGTACCAAGAGTCTTCCTCGAGTGCCGAGGGGCATGGTGGTAACACCATTCACCAAGGAACATAGTTCCCTAGGCGCTGTAAGTGCTCAATTCGGGTGGTAACACCTCATGTTGGGAAACGTGGTCTCCTAGGTGTAGCCCTTGGGGCGTTGTTAGTGCTTTATTCGGGTGGTAGCACCGCATGTCGGGAAGCGTGGCTTCTAGGACGTTGTTAACTCCTTGATCGGGTGGTGACACCACTTTATTCGAGAACCTGGTTCCCGATGTGTTCTGGTGTTTAGTTGTGGTTGCGCATCATTGAGTCCTACTTAAAGAATGGATCAATAGGACAGAGTAGTTTGTACCACTTCCATTTTTCACATGTCACTACACCAGTTGATTTTTGGGGCAACCCAATTCGGGTCGTTGTTTGTCAAACACCAAGTGCTTCATGTTTTTCTTTAGGACCCTCTAAGTAGCGTGATCTCAAATTTTTGTGGACATCTTAGTGGGAAATGCGAGGTCATTGTCTTAGAGCCCAGAGGCCAACATAGCAGTGTCACGGGCCGGGAACAACCGCGGGTAAATAACGAACACGTGAGCAACTTTCGGCAGTTGCGTATGTTACTCTTCGACCTGATAACGGGTAGAACGAGTAAGCGTCCACATCCTAATGAATAGAGGCGACAAGAACAAGCCTAACCATCATGTGCATGTCATAAAACTCTTTTTTCTAGAATCTGGGAGCTCATACTTTGGTTATAGCCCTTGGCCAACTAGTTTTCTAGTTTCCCACAAAGGGGCACACATCCACCGAAATAAAGGTACTTCGAGCTCGTCTTGGTACTAGGGAGATTTACGTGATACCGGGTGTTAGATGTTTTAGGATCATACTGGTGACCCTCCTGAATACTCCCCTAGCTCTAGGGATGGCAGGGTCAATAGTAAATGAACTACTACCGCTTACGCTTGCCGATGGGGTGTGAGCCGGGCCGAGTACTTGATCAGAGTATCGGATCACTCACCTGCACTAGCTTGGGTGACAGTGCGTCAGATGTGGGCCATTGGGCCCCATGGCCTCCACGATTATGGGGATGGGTTCCTTCTCGACGAAGCTAAGGCATCAGTTTTGGTGACCCATCTCCCCACGCGTGTTTCTTGGAGGGGCGTGCCTCTCAGATATCATGGGGACATGGCCTAGCCTTAACTCCCGCCGTCGCTCGGAGATGTTACTAGGATTCCGTCGACCATGCATGTCCCCTGCCTATAAAAATAGAGGAAGGGAAGGAGAGTTAGTATGCCTGCATTGTAGCTTTTGCACACTCACCTTTCATTGTTAGTATGCCGAGGAGCGCGTGCCCGGTGCCCTTAGACCCTTCACTTGGGCCTACTAGGATTCAGGTAAGGATGGATATATCCTTGGATCTCTTCTTGAAGGAATCTAACACTTTTCTTGGTGTAGCGCCATTTTCACGGCGTGCTCGATGTCATGGTCTGCCATGGCCTGAGGAGCATCGTTGCCATCGCAACCCCTAATGGCGCAGGCTACTTCATCGTCGGCCTCGCCCTCCTCCTCCGATGATGAGGAGTTTGATGATGGCGGTCAAGACGTCCACATCATCACATGGGAGTTGGATGTGATTGGCAGAGCCCTTCGGAATGAATGTCGGGAGGTGGAGCGGCTGAAGGCATGTCTCTCGGCTATTGAGACGGCGCTTGGCGCCATGGATAGGGAAGCGACAGAGGCCAGGGCTATAGATGTGGTGGCTCGTGCTGAGCTTGCTGGTAAGTGAGACATCATCTTTCCTACGTCTCATTTGGAGTTGTCCTCACCCTAATGTGACGGTCTTTGTGTCCCTGTTCCTTTTCAGTTGTGTAGGGGCAACTAGTTACCGTCCAAGCTGAGGCGGCGGACTTGCGTTGGGCCAATGAGGGGTTGGCTGGACGTTTGGCAGAGGTGGCTTGCTTGCAATATGAGTCAGCTTCCTAGGCGCGTGGCTCCACCGCCATAGTGCAAGTCAATAGTAGCCATTATGCGGCGCTGCAAGAGGCGGTCACTGCCACCGTCGAGCTGGTACAACTAGAGGGGACGGGCTTTCATGAGCAAGCTCATGAGCTTTCAACGTGGATCAGGGAGGTGACGGCGCACAACGTGCATCATGGGGTTGTGGTAGCCTTAGCTACCGCTCATATCCGTCTTCAACCCGAGGTGCATCTACACGCAATGGAGCCCGGGTTCCTGCTAAGGGCAGAGGTGCCTGAGGACATCGATGTCGGTCAGTTGATCACTGACCTTGGCACTGCCACCGGCGCCATTGCAGTGGTTGTCAGCGTGGAGCAAGTCATCAAGGACACCCCTCGTTAGGGTGAGTTCTATCGACTTGTTTCTCTATAAAAAGATATCTGAATAAAATCTTGATTTGCATATTTGTAATACTCTTGCAAACCTTCCCATGTGTGATTGTGCGTAGCAGTAGCCCCCAAACGCTCAGATAGGTTAGCGTAACATGTTTGAGTGTTGAGGCCTCACCAATCCCAATGGAGTCCCGATCAACGTATTCTGCCCAAGTGGGATGGGTCGTTGTCATGAGATCATTTTTGGCATGGGTACAAGTATTGTAACCCAAGTGTAGCCCTCGAGTGTTTTGAGCTAAGTGTCGCTCAGCTAGTGTAGTCATACTCGAGTAGTATAGTAGTTAGTTAGCAAGGCTATGCCGACGTCCTGTGTCTCAGAATCAGTTTTATGTAGCCCTCGAATGCCTTGTAATGTTATTATAACATTCAAGGTATTGAGAGAGAAAACACTTGTCAATGACATTGCGTAGAATTAAAACTTAGCCCCCGAGTATCCTTTATGGAAGTAGTTCCCAGGTCTTCGAGGGCACAAGGTTTTTTTATTCATAGCAATTTGAGACATGCATAACATTGTTTAAGTAAGGAAAACAAAAAATCGAGCATGTTGACGATGTAGGTGAGTCTCGCTTTATCGTTCTACGCCCTTAAGTGGCTAGGGATCGGCCCAAGCTTTGTTATGGAAAGGTGTCATTGACACTTCAGGCCTCAGCCTTGGAGCTGCCCTCGGTGGCCGAGTCATCCCTCTTTTCCTCTTGCTTTGCCTCCTTGGGTGCCTGCTGGGGCACTGGGGTCATAGGTGAGGCTAAAGCCAGGGGATAGTAGGTAACATGCCAGCTAGGGTGATTGGCGTAGCTTGATGCTCTAGAGATTAAAACACACATTGGGTGGTTCCTGAGCTCATTTTGCACTTAGCCCCATCGTTAGGCCTTGGCTCATCGAGGATTAGATCTTGTTGGCCTGCTCCACAGCCTACCTTTCACATTCATAGCATCCTAAAAGTTACTAGCAATGGTAATAATGCTGCGTGGGCCTGGCATCTTGAGCTTGAGGTAGGCATAGCTAGGGACCGTCATGAATTTGGCGTAGCATGGCCTGCCAAAGATGGCACTATAAGGACCCTCGAAGTCAACAACTTCAAAGGAAAGTGTCTCCTTATGGCAGTGTCCCTAGTCACCAAACGTGACAAAAAGAGTGATCATGCCGAGTGGCATAACCCGACGTCCTAGAATGATCCCGTGGAACGGAGAGTGTGAGAGGTGTAGTTTGCCAGCCACGATATTCAGCTTCTCAATGGCATCCTCATAGAGGATGTTTATGCCACTGCCTCTGTCCATCAGGACCTTTGTCATCTTTATGCCTTCTATGACTACACTGGGCACTAATAGAAACCGTCCAGCCTCGATGACATGATTGGGATGGTCGTTTCTGTCAAAGGTG